GTCCCGAGAGAGGAGGCCGCGGCCCGGCTCGCTCCGCCGCCTTTGCCGCAGCGATCTGGTCAACGTACGCCTGCGGAGGGGGTCGGGGGGGAGGGTGTGTGGCGAAGGGTGGGGAAGCGGGGCGGAGGCGGGAGGGAGGCGTGGGGGGGAGAGTCAAGGGCGTTGTTGGGGGCTGGCGGCGCGATGACGGTTCGTGTGTATATGCTGCTCCGCTCCCACCGCAACCGCCGAACCGCGCTGCAGTGTCCACGGTCACCAGAAGGAGGGAGAAAGAGGTGGTGCGCGCGCGCCTCAAACGAGTCGACAGAGTCGCGCTCGGAGGCTGCCTGGTGCCCCGCCCCGCCCTCCGCCTCCAAGACGCCCGGCGGCACCGGCGAGCCCACCGCGGCGGCGCGCGCCCTGTTTAGGGCGTCGGGCGACGCGCCCTCTTGGTTGCTTTGCGTGGCGCGCCAGCGCGCCGCGCCTCCCTTTGGCGGTGGCGACTTCGAGATGTCCTCCTCAACCTCGAACTCCTGAGAGCGCCTGCTGCTGTCGTCCACGTAGAGACCGGACGAGCGGCGGCCCGCGGCTGGCTTCTTGGACTTCTTGCCGGGCGACCGCGCAGATCCGACGGAGGAGCCGCCGGGCACGGTGGACTCCAGCGACGGAGACTTTGAGTTCGTGCAGCCCATCGCCGCGAGAAGCTAGAAGCGAGCGAATCCGTCCGGGTTTTTGCAACACTTCGCGGGCGCAGCGGCGTCTTTTAAAAAAAGAATTTTTAGGGGCCAGTGCACACCGGGCCTCGCCACCTCGGCGGACACCAGGGCTCAGTGTCCAAGAAGATCGAGGCGTGGGCGCCGGGGCAGTCAAGAGAGTGCCTGATGCTCAGATTCCCGGCACAAGAATAAAAAACGCGTGGCCGGTCCTTAACCCGCCGCCATTCCCTGCTCTCTCCTCTCTCTACCTCGCCGGCGCGCGCCGGCGCGCGCTGGGCGGCCCGAACCGCACCCAGCCCTCCCTGCCGCACGCGCGCAGCACGAGGCGCGCGGACGCGCCAAGCGCGGCGGTGGGCAGCAGGATGGCCGCCATCGCAGCCTCAGAGGTAAAGCCAACCAGCGTGGCGCTCGCCGAGCGGGCGGCACCGCGCTGCGCCTCGGCGCGGGAGGACGCCTGGGCGCGGAGCAGGGCATAGCAGGCGGCCCGCACCGGAGCGAGGACTCTCCTGGCCCACGGCGCGCCGAGCGCGGCGCTCAGCCGGAGGAGGAGGACTGCGACCACGCCATGCGCAGTCGCCAGCGCCCTGAGCGCTGGCGAGGGCGACGCGGCGGGCAGGGCGGAGAGCATGGACACGTAAGCGTCGGAGAGGCCGAGCTCCACGGCTCCTTGGACGATGAGCTCCTTGTACCGCGCGCTCGGCGGGGCGTCTCGCCGCAGGCGCATCCACGGCGCCGCGCGCAGCGTGACCGCCTGGACGATGGTCCCGTCCACGCTCACGGGCACGCTCACCTCTTCGTAGCCGGGCCGTTCCATGCCGCCGCCCTCGCTCTGCCACAGCGCCTCGTAGCCGTCGCGCGTGAGCGTGTAGAGGGCGCCCTCGCACACCTCGCCCGGGCTGGGCTCGATCGAAGCCATCGAAGGCTCGAGGGGCGGAAACATGCGCATATTGAACGCCAGCCGGTGGTCGGGCACTACCCCGGCGGTGCATGCGATCACGCCCGTCTCGCCTCGCTTATCCATCTTTGAGCGCAGCAGGTTTGAGCCAAACGCAAAGTACCGCACGACGCCGCCACTCGAGACGCCTTCGGGAAGTGCTCGCGGGCTGGCGCTGAGGCCGAGCCCGGACAGCTGCAGCGGGAGCATATGCAAGCCGCAAACCAGGCTCTCCAAGCACTCCGCCCGACACTTTTTTCTTTTTTTTTCCTTCCGGTGACAGTTCTTCACCTTCCTGTTGGTCGGACTGTGTTTCCCCTTTCGCCTTCCTATCAATCAATCAATACATACATCACACTCGTCTGACTAAGCGACAAGAGAAAAGAAATTTCTCGCAAAGAACCAAGTAAGTACCAAGAGAGAGAGGACCACCAAAGCGAGATAGATCACCCGAGAGCAGCTGAGTCTGCCTCTGGCCTCGCCTCCCTCTCCTTCAGGCATTCGTGGCATCCTATGGGCCGAGATCTAGGCATCCCAGCCATCCTTAGGCTTAGCACGGATGGCTGTGAAACAGGGAGCGCAGCCATCCCAGGTGTGCACATTTCGAGGTTACATTGTAGCCCTCCCGGAGGGCGGGGGGCGCACTAACTAACAGACAAACAAAAGAATTCGCGTACGAAAAAGAAAGAAGCGCGCATCTCTCTCTCTCTCTCTCTCTCTCTCTCTCCCTCCCTCCCTCCCTCCCTCTCTCTCTCTCTCTCTCTCTCTCTCTCGCTCTCTCTCTCTCGCTCGCTCGATCGCTCGCTCTCCCTCACTCCCACAATAAAACTCCCTCTCTCTGTCCCCAAATGACTGCACTCCAAGTGCCCGAGTGCTCTCAGATACAGCACGGTTCGATTAAAATGCG